GAAGGAGACGAGTTGGTGACCGATGAAAATCTAAGGAAAAAGATCAGGGACAAAGCACCCTTAAAGTAAGCTTCCAATCTATAAACTTTATCAAACGTTCTCTCAATCCCAGAAAATAGGCTTACATCGGCTCCGCTGCTTGAAGCACTTGAAACAATAGAGAAGCTGAAGCTGAAGGAGGAAAAGACTCTTCGCTTTTGCCTTTTCAATCTACAAAGGTACATTAAGGAGGAGCAGTTTGCAACCGAGTTCCTTCAGAGAGACGGACTAAGAGAGTTGTGTGAAGTAATTGTGGCCGTCGGAGGAAATACATTGGCGGTGCGTCTTCTTTATATCACCATGATCCATATTAATCCTTTCCACAGTATGCCTTGACAGCGCTTTCTAATCTCCTTGATCTTCCATACGGATGGTCGACACTATCTCCTCAATTTATTCATAAAATCGTGCAAATTCTTGCCAACCCCAATAATCTTGTTAACGTCTGTCGTCCAGCAACCCTAGTTCTAAAAAAGCTGGTAGATGCGGATGGAGCTCAAGCCGGAGGCAGTAAGTCTCTTATGTTCCAGTCAATTCCCTCCTAATGTGCTGTAGATAATGCATCCTCATCGACAGGCCAAACAGCACCCAATCAAGGTCCAATGAATGGAAGTGTATATCGATTCGGGTTCGACGTTGTATACGAGCAAATGAAGCGAGAACGCAATCTATTAGATATTCTAGTATCGCGGCTAACCGGAAGTGAAAGCATGATGGTGCTTTACAGGTGAGCTTACATCGACTACTATGGAAGTGACACGCTTTTACTGAATGAAAATTGGTTTATAGTATGACTCTCATCAATTCCCTTCTCTCGCATGCCACCCCGAACCATTGGATAGAGTTAACGTCTTCACTTGAACGTTTGAACATTTCAAGAGCCGTCATCCGCCTCATGTCCTCGCACACAATTGAGGACCTGACAAATAGTATCTTAGACTTCCAGGGTAATATGGTACGAGTCGCCTTCTTCAAGAAGACAAGACGTGTTCTCGTCAGCGGGCATTTCAATGGCGAGGAGGATGGGTACGATAACGGATATGCAGGAGATGGTGAACAAGAAGCTATGTTGGAGTATATATGGAGCTGTGCCAAACTGGAACAGGACGATGGATCAAGATCGCCCACTACCTACTTGAACGGATATGGGGAGCCGAGTGCCAAAGCACGCGGCAAGGGAAGCACTCGTGACATTGTTAAATGGAGAAAACTAGGCTTTGAAACAGAAGATATGAGACGAGCATTCGAAGACACTGGAATGTTGGGCTTGGAATGCTTGGTATGTCCAGGAACATTATTCTCTGACCACAATACTGACAGTGAACTCGCGAACACAGAAACATTTCGTACAAGCTGACCCCTCGCGTTTTGCCCAATTGGTCCTTGAACAAAATAGTCGCGCAGTAGAGCGAAGATGTCCTATCGCAAAGGCTTCAAACGAAGTTGTCGAAATTCTTTCAGAGCACTGGAGCATTTTTGCTCCTGGATGTGAGTCTAAAACTCTGTGATAGTAGGACTTATCAAGTGACACGTACTTTCATAGATTCAACGTCAACAAGCTTCCAGCCGTTCTTCCTCAGCTTCCATCGTGTCCATGCCCTTGCACTGCAATTTTTCCTGCGAATGTGGAATGAAAGTGGAGCCACCTCTACGGACTTCTCAAGAGTCGGAAGTCTAGTTAGGAGCCAGTACGTAAAATCATTGACCAGGTATCCGCTGTAAGCTAAAGTTTGTGCCTCCAGAGTGAAGTTTGCTTTGAGGAATGAGGCGGAGAGACCATGGCACGAAGTTGAAGCAGACTTCTTGGAGAGTGAATATCGTGCCGTGAGGGATCGACAAATGAAAGAGCTTGAATTGGAAGATGACCTTCTGACGAAAGTCCCTGTTCGGTAGGTTTTCTTTGGCACTTTGTCAAATGATATCTTGCTGACTCTTTGTCTGACGTAAAGTAATCTACGGGCGAAATTATACAAGGAGTCCTATGAATTTATTCGACAGCAAAGGATACAATGCCTCATTCAGGGTGCCTGGTTTGTGAATGGCATCCCCCTCTCACCAACCCCTGGAATGGCGCAGAAACGACAAACACGTCCATGGAGGTATATGAGACTCGATCGCAATCTAAAATACATTCACTTCTGCGACTCAGCAGTCAAGTTCCCCGTCAGAAGCGGGCTTGAGGACCTACCTGACAAGATTGATGTGTCGCAAATCGGAGAAGTCGCAATCAACACTTGCGCACTTCCCCCGAATATCAACGTTGCTGCAGGACCGGTGCAGCCAATGACCGATCTTCC